ACGTTGTGAGCTAGCGGCTGGTGCCTTTGCCAAAATTGAATCCTGAAGAAGTTCTCGATTTGTGTGTGGCCGCTAGCGTTATGACTAATGAAGCTGCATGCTAATAAAATCTTTCACACAAACACGAAATCTTGTGTGAACAGTTTAACAACAGAGAAGAAGCGCATCATCCCATCATCAATGAACTGCAACTGATAATATCAGCAGACTGTAAATCAGCTTCCCTTCAAGCTCATCTCTGCGACTCTGTCTGGACATATACTTGCTGACAGAGAAGAGAGGAGTTATATATCTGTACAAAGTCCATCTTTCGGATGTAAAACTGTACAGAACGTCAGCTAACTGGGGATCCGCTACAACCGCTTGGAGTATCCAGAACCAGCACACTTCTTGCAAAGTATTAGCCCTGCGTGATAAATGCAGAGAGTCAGAATAGACTCTAAAAGAAAACCCACTGGATCCCCAACTTCAGTGTCAGGTTTGCTCTCTTATGTTATGAGCAGATCCAAAAGGATATGAAATAAGGGAACAGGGCAACCTGCTCCTCTGCATACGCGGCACTCAACGACTCCATTTTCCACCTTCATTTTGCCATCGTTGCAGAACACACACTTCGTGCCCCCTAGTTAGCAAGTGTCAAGGCATCATACATGTACAAAACGTTATAAGCATGTAACTAGATATTGGTGTCAATGTGCTATATTTAACGCAAAGTGGCCATTTGTCTAAGTAACATCTTTATGTGTTTCTCTCTTAAACGGTCTATATATTTGTTGAAACGATAAAACATGTCTTTCCTGCCCATCAGTTGAATGCATTTCCTATTTTCCTTCTTTGTATTAAACAAGTGTTGCATGATCAAACAGTTCAATGAGGAGCAAGTGTGGCACACAGCTGGGAGGTAAAGTGGTGATGTACAGGCATGCCTATATAGATAGGGTAATGTAGCTCTCCACTGATATCATCAAGGAAACACAATTAACCCAGACAATTAGCCCCACTCTTACAATGATTTAGCATCACACAAAATTAACTATTTCCACTTTCCAGGGCCATTTTACCATCCATAAATATTTCATGTATATAAAAGAACTACATGTACCTATTGATAAATTCCATCAAGTTGTAGGGGGCATTGAAACTACTAAGAAAACCACCAAGTGAAGCGCTGACCCCAGTGGAACTATATAATCATCTAGACATTGTGATAGCAGAGTAGCAGACTAAACAGAATAACTCACAAGTTGGGGTCATTCAAAAATGCAGGTGTGTATATATAAGTATGGGCGTGTGGCAAACAGCTAGGTAATGATGAACTCCCCAATTAGAAGATTAGGCAAAAGGAACTTACGACACATATATGTTAACATACATTATGGATCAGTCATATACCACGATAGCATCCATCCCTTTGTTTTGCTCACAATCCAGATGAGTTAGCACCCATTAGCATCAAACAAGACACGTAAGATTTGTAAGTTTCAGGCTTTGGTACAACCACATACAGCAGTGCATACCAGCAGGCTAATTTCTAGACTTATCATCCATTCAGTTCACCCCGGCCAGAGAAAGAAGAATGCAATGGAGGAGAGACTGCAAAATACCATTCCCAGCGCACCTGTCGCACGGCACCGGATCGCCCTGAAAGAGCACAGCAAAGAACATCACAAACCCTTACCAGAGACCAGCAGCCTGCCATTCAAGCATTCAGCAAGAAAAGAAGATAGCTAGAAAGCCAGCGCTCGAGACCTTGAGTCCGAGGACGAGAGAGAGGGCGACCGCGGATATGACGGCGGCGGCTATGATGATTGTCTGTGTGTCGATGGGCCTGAGCAGGTCGCCGCCGTAGTCGTAAGAGGCCGCGGCAAGGGCCCGCGGCGGCTGAGAGGCGACTGGGGACGCGAGCGGGGCTGTGGATGCGCCTCCGTAGTGCCGACTTGAGGGGAAGGATGGTGCAGCGGGGAAGGCGGCTGTGCGGCGCAAGGAAGCGGAGGGGCAGGAAGAGGAGGGGCAGAGAAGGGAAGCCATGGGATGGGAGGAGAGCGCTGGAGGCAAATGCGGTGACGTGGCAGCGATACGAGGGCGTTGTTCGGATAATTTCTTTCCCTTTCTAAGCCCTAGCTTTCTCTCACATTTCAGTTATAAATATAAGAGCATCTTCAATAGTTAAAAAAAAGCAATTGGTAAATCAATAAATCTTCAAGTGGCTAAAAAAGTTAGAAGCTTATTTGTTGGGGTTTCTCCAACCGTTTCCAATATCTCGACTCTAAAACGTAGAAGACAATACCACTTTTATATTTTTCTTTTTTTCTCACGTATATTTGCATCAAGAATGTTGTCCTACTCTTTATTTTTCCCCACGTCATTCTGTCTTCGAATTGGCCAATTGATACACGGCGTATTTATCCACGCGATAGGCCGAGTTTTCCAAGTGCGGAAAGATTAGGAGTTGAAGTGAGAGTTGTTGGAGAGCAGTTTTTATAATCTTGCCAAAAAATCTGATTGGGAGTGAGATTTGGAAATTCTTAGAAATGCTCTAATATCACCCCAACCTTTCCTAATATTTATCGAATCTTATATTATAAAGTACCTGCGTGAATAGGGCAAAAAGGCGGAAAACTTGAAAAGGTCCGTGTATTGTAAGCCATAGGCCATAGCGCTTCGCGTTGTTTCTAGCAACTCCGAGGGACACTTTATATCTTTCTAATTTATAAGAATAGAGATTTTTGTGAAAAATATCCCTCAACAACCTCTTTAATTAGATATCCAATATAGACATCCTTTATTTCGAATTTCTTGCTAGTTAAAGATGGAGAGCGAGGATGGTTCTCTTGATTGCGCAGCATAAGATATAGAAAAGTTGTTGAAAAGAAAAAAGATATAAAAAACGACTTTTAACCAAATGACTCTAAATAATAATTTAGAGAATAAACATTTTAGAAAGACTCCTAGGGATACTTTAAAGATACACAAGGTATCTTAGCTAAACCAAAGAAGCCTTAAACAACATTTGCATTACATTTGTGTCATTTGGATGGAAGTGAGAACAGGGAAGGGAAAATGCAATGGGAAGGAGAAGAGGAGGATATAGGATAGGGATATGAGCACTACTCGTACTAATGTTTGGTTTCTTCTTGGCTTGGGTTAGAGATATACTGTGAGATCCACAAAATTAAAAAAAAAACTACATCAACCTTGCACTACAATCTAGAGGTCGGAAGTAGTTCTAGAGGATGCTGCAAAATGTCATAGTTTGTTATTTACAATAGTGTTGTGGGTCGTGTCAATCCTAGTTATTGTCAACTGTTGGGGATTTGACTTCGTTAAAAAACGCAGCCCCAGAACTTTGAAGTCATACTGATATTTTTTGTAACAAAGTTTGCCTGCAGGAGACAAAGGCGAAGACGTCATTTCGACTTTGCTAAGAAGAATTTGACTTCGCTGGAAATAAGAAGAAGACTAGAGCAAGTTGGGAGCGAAGACAAAATTCCGACTTCGCTCAGCAAGCGAAGTCATAAGAAACCGGAACAAGAGTTTGACAAAGTCTAAACACGATGACTTCTGGAGTATTGACAGAACAAGATGAAGAATGAAGCGTAGAATAGTAAAAAAGACAACTTCGCCTATGTAGTTTATAAAGGGGATATATTAATCTAGAGAGGGGTATAATAGTCATTTAAGTATAAATTACGAAGGGTACTCTATAAATACCCTATTTGACATGTACAGTAGGATCACGAAATGAATTCAATTTTGACTTGTGCCCAAACTTGATACTTGCGTGATTGTTTTACCCAACATCAACCTAGTTGACAAGTTGGTCCGGTCCAATACAGTAACACCCATTGGTAGAATGTATTGCTAAATGTTTTTGTACATATTTTAGAGTAACTCCAGGAACCCTCAAATAAGAGTCTCTACTTTTTATTTAAGATATGATTTTTCTATATATTTACTTAAACAACAGCCCTCAAATTCATTCCAATAGACATTGGTATATGAAACCTACTCGTCATTCTCTGTTCTTCCCGCCTTGCTCTCGTCGACTAAGAGGGTATTTAGATCCGATGACTAAAGTTTAGAAAGTGTCACGTAAGGGTGTCGCATAGGGTGTTCAGATACTAATAAAAAACAAATTACAGAATCCGTCAGTAATCCACGAGATGAATTTATTAAACCTAATTAATCTATCATTAGTACATATTTAATGTAGCACCACACTATCAAATCATGGATTAATTAGACTTAAAAAATTCGTCTTGCAAAACAATCTTAATCTGTGCATTTAATTTTATAATTAATCTATATTTAATACTACATGCATGTATCAAACATGACAGCTGGAATCCAACGACCCCTGAGGTCGGGAGGTCGAAGTGGATCTGTCCCACTATGCCCACGGATCTGAGCGGAGGAGGGCCCGACACGGCAAGCGGAGGCCCAACTGTGCTCAGGTAGGTGCTCGGCATCCTGGCATCCCTTTGCTCATAGACGCTGTGGGAGGTTGCTCGGCGATCCCTTGATTAGATCTACGCTGCGGAAGGGTGCTCAGCGAGACAGCGACGCGAGGGGCACGGGGAATAAAGAGAAGCGCGGGTGGGAAACAACCAACTGCCGGATAGAGGCCACAGTCGACGCCCACAAGGATGAGGGCCAAATGGTGAGACTTGAGAGGCGCCCAAATTCAAGGACTTGATGAACATGTATTTTTGACAAGAGCCCTCAAAATCTGGTTTGGAGGCTTGTTTAAGGGCCCTACTGGAGCTGCTCTCTTAACACTACCTTCTCTTCAAAGCTACATATCTGGGCAGTAGGCCTGATCAAACAGTCCGATCAGGTTCGGATCACATCGAGAAAAATGACAAGGCCAACACGACACACTTGCGAATCAGGCCAAGTCATAATGACGATCGATAAAAACACTGAATCAACTGCAAAACCAATTTCATGAGGTAATCAACCCTCGATATACAGCTTCAACTTGCTACAAGGAAATGTTGCTATACGAACCCTGTACATCCACCAAATGAAAATTCTTCTGATAAATTGCCACATAAACTATTATATGCAAAACCTCCACCATGTACATCACTAAAAACATAAAGATACTGCTTTTGGAACAAGACTGCCCTCATATCCTGTTCATATGTGGTTTGAAAGGATCGTATCAAAACAAAATATAGTTCAGACATACTTCAGGACATATAACAAAAGATGTTCCTAATCCTAACCATTCATTTTTAATTAGCAAGGAGGTACTCACCATCCATCATATGTAAAAAATATTGCCAGCTTTAGTTGTAAATCCTCACAGGCTTCTCAAAAGAATGGCGGTTCTGCAATTGCTCTAGTATCAGAATCAGACTATGCCCAACTTTTATGTGACAAGTAAAGCCTTTAAATGTCAGCATTCTTCAGCACAATACCTGACTGCCAAAGTACGACCTTCTTGGGGTAGTGGCTGTATGCTCCAATCCAAGGTGTTGTTCCCAAGCTCCATAAACAGGTTTCTGTTTCTAAAACAATACCAGGAAAAGCTTATATAAGACTTCAATGTTACGATGAAATGCTGTACTTGCGACAGGATCTTTTCACCAAAAGGAAAACTTAACTCACATGGAATCGGTTCAATACAATATCTGAATCTTGGAGGTATTCTGGCCTACTGAATGTAACATGAGCAAATTTCCACTGATGAAAGAAACATAACATCAGATATTATCCAGCATAAGAGGAAACAAAGGTAAAGAATAATGAAATGAAACTTAATTATTAACCAGCATGCCCATTTAAGTTTAATTTCAATCAGACTATGGAGAATGAAGTTGAAAAAAAAATCAAATGATTACTAATCACAATAATAGTTAATAGAATAGATAGAGGTGCTTAAATGACAAAACAACAAAAATCATAGAATTCAGACACTGATCATATAGCAAAAGTTGAAATGAGCACCTTCAGAAACTGCTCATCAGGAACTTGAAGTCTCTTCTGAATCCGTACTTTGATATCAGACAAAGCTTCACCATCACGAATTAGAAAGAAGAAAGGTTCTCCAAAATACTGAACATGCTGCAGATATAAAGTTGTCACATCAATGAAAGTAAGAACTGCAGAATCATGATGGCTTCTCTAAAAATGTGTAAGCAAGCACAGCACTAGCATTTGTCAAACATCAGAGAAGAGGATCTATACTAAGGGGGGGAAAACACTAGGTACAAAAAGACATTTCATAATTGAATCACAAACACCAACGAAAACATTTTGGGAGGTCAGATCCCAATACAGCAGTAAAATCACAAACCCAAGTGAAAAGGTTCGCAAGGTAACAGTACCCAGTCACTTTGCCTACAGCAGTAAAGTTGCATGATATCTGGTGGTTCCTTGACCAATTTTATATAACTATTTAAAATTTCAATCTGCCCTAAATGCACTTGGTGAATATTAATCAGTTTGTATGCTGAGTATGCATATCTATGATGCTTTAAATTAAGCCATAGATTAACACGGTGGCCTATGTCCATTGCAATCATAATTTTGTGTACACTCCGCGCGAGCATAAGCCATAAGGTTATTAAACGAATTGCCACACTCATAAAGCCTCCAAACTTCTAATATATTCTCAGTTGCGATTAATGGATAATAAATATTTTAAGAAAGCTGTATGTTCCATAGATTCTTTCAAATGAACTTGAAAGCATCGAATCACTACAAGGAGTCTTCAAGATCAAAACATTAATAACTTCAAGATATACAATTATGCATACACGATTATCTTCGAAGTGATAGACATGAACCAAACGGTCATGAGGCCCAGCATTTTTTTGTTCCTCAGGAACCTGGCAAGACAAATAAGAAGAATGTGAAGGGGTCAATTTTACTTGCAGAAACACAAAACTCATAGCACTAAAAAATAATACTATTATAGAAAAAATTGCCATCAAAAGTGCCATGTGAAATCCACAGCAGAGCATACCTCTTCAATATACAAGGGTCCATGTTCACTAACTGAATCTATCTTATCTCCAGGTTGATAAACCTAAAAAGTGTTTGTGGCCATCAATTGATCAATATAAGTAACTTGGTAGATTATAAGCAATCAAATATGGAAGGTAAACAACAACTTGTTATAAATGAAGATAAAGGTAAAGTATAGTGGGTGTACAGCCATAATGCACCAAATTCATCCTAATTAAAAAAAGGGCATACCCAGTGCAGAGAGCTCCCGCTCTGTGCGGGGTCTGGGGAAGGGTGTCAGTGGCAAGCCTTACCCTCGCCTGTGCAATGCGAAGAGACCGCGACTCAAACCCGGGACCTTCCGGTCACAGGCGGTAAGACTCTACCGCTTGGACCAGGCCCGCCCTTCTAAATTCATCCTAATTAAACAAAAAATTAACACCAACAAGAATCACAAACACTACAACCATGATGCATCAAGTCTTCTCCCAATTAAACAAAAAACTAACACCAACAGGAATCACAAACTCACCATCCCTCCCAAATCCCTTCTAGTTCAATAGTTCACCCACATGCATGCCCCGCACAACTATGATGCACCAAATCTTTGGTAGCATGTGTGTGTGGTGGGGAGGGGGGTGTTCACATAACAATCTGCCAGCAAAAGATATTAACATTTCAGTGGGACCACATAACACTATATATTGTGCAATGTTATCAACACTCCAACTGGTATCTATCTATAGTTGAGACGAGGTGGTTGAATGCACAACAGATCGCTAGAGGCGCAAGAATGGAGGCAGCGCGGACAGCATGGACAACAAGCACAGAATTGAGGTGGCGCGGGACGGACACCTGCGACAAGGCACCTGTGACTGATCCTGGAGGAATCAAGGCGGCTCGGAAGACTTGAAGATGGATTCATGATGCTGCTACATGACAAAGAAGATCTACAAGGCTGCCCCAGGAAGCGGAGACCGATCTTCGGGGAATGCACCAGGAGAGGGTGCTGGCCAGATCACAAAACCTAGTGTTGTGATACCATGTTACAAATGAGGGAGACTGAACTGGATAATGGTATTATGGCCGAAAGGGAAACCCTGGACTAGGAATTACACAACTATTATTCCTTGACAGATCCAACCAATTCAAAGTCTAAGTTTTTAACCTCCTAGGTATGTGCTGATCTGCTGGACAAACATTAAGAAATGGAGGTATGTGGTTAGGACGGCACAAAGAAACATAACATTTACGTATATCATCTCCTCACCGTTCAACCTTCTTACAAATATAACACAGTAATCCATGGCCACCCCTAGGTTCTTAAATTTTCTTAATGAAAATGCAGTAATCCATGGCTAATTTGGTTCAAGCAACATTAGTGCCCCCACCCCACCCCCACACAAATTCATTGACAACCCCCTCGGGATGTTGCTGAAACTCCACCACTGGCCACAAGCCCAGCTGCCACCTGGCAGCGCACATACATCTTCATTAGCCCCTAGAAGGTGCTGAACTATGAATGAATTATCTAGTTTCCAACCAAGAGTCTGGGCAAAAAGAGATTGACTTTGGCAAAAACAGTCTGGGCAAGCATCTACAGTTCAACAAAAACTGTTGAGGTTTTGGCTCCTTTCCAGAAAAAAATGAACATGTATAATATCTGCTTCCCACCACACAAATTTCGAGTTTGATCTTTTATATCCAAAAAAGAGTTATCCCAACAGTGGAGCTGAAATCATTCATTAAGTAAAAAATACTCAAGAATAAATAAATAGAAAAGGATATTTTCCATTCAATAAGAAATAGGTCTATTAGTACCTTGCATATCTTGTGAAGGTGGACTCCAAAAAACCGAAATTCAGCGTCATTACATGAAAGTTCAACCTAATAGCATGAACAAAAAGTGTGCAAAATGAAGTAGCTATGCCAACACCACATCCAAAGAAATTTAGAGGTTATTGCAGCCAACAAACCTTTGACTTTAAGTCTTCAATCAAATCAAGAAGAGTGTTATTTTTTGGTAACCGCATAGTGTGAAACGACATCTGACAATAAAACAGTCTCAGAACATGGTCAGAAAAATAGAAGTTGCACAGAATATGGAAAAAGAAAACTAACCTCATGGTTTGTGGCGTTTTGAAAAGCGATCTTCAGAGACCTCGTAGATTCTAGTTCAGGCAACGGAATATCCAGGATGTCATAATATAAAATGTCACACATCTGCCAAATCAATGGAAGTTCACATAATCTGAAGAGAATATACTCCAAACTCAAGAAAAGGAGTCCAAACCTGATTGTGATTATGTAGCATGTCTGAAAGATAATTAAGACTCCTGTATTTGATGTGGTGAGGTTTGGGTTGCTGAGACGATAGATTGTATTGAGTAAGCCGGATTTTAGAAGGATCGTCCAGACGTAGTTGCTGAGCAACCTTCTCAACGACATCATCATATGTGGAGCGTTTTGAACTTCACAAGTAAAATTCAAATATTACTGTGAATACTGTTGCAATGTTATCGATAAATGGATGCTACTCAACAAAAATCACAACACATACAGCTCCAGAGAGAAGCCTTCTTCTTTTGGTTTCTCAAGCAATCTGAAGTGGACAACCTACAAATAATAATAGGAATCAATTGTCAGAAAACAAATAAAAATTATGAAGAACCATTAGACTGCGGTAGCAGTAGCATCTAACAACCTACAGGCAAACAAACACTCCCCAAATAAGAAGATTGAGGGCCCGTGAGATGATATATTTTAATCAGACTTTACAACCAGAATGCAGCTGTCATAAACAATTGTCATCATACTAGTAAAAACTAATTAATGTAAGTACACTCTTACGACAAAATTGAGCTCACTCAAGAGGTCTGAACTATGAAGTCAAATGCCAGCCCTGCCCACACACACACACACACCCCAAAAAAAAGAAGACAGATGCAGTAACGTTATTTGGAGCAATTTAACCCATTCCATTTCTCGAAAAATCAGAAGCAGATAGACTGCACACAAAATGATCTCCATAGAAATTTCCTCAAACTGCAAAGATGTTACAGTGGCATTTATGAAAAAATGGCTAAGATGTTTTACAATTCGCTACGCATAAAAAATTACAGATGGCACGAATGTTGTTTATAGTATGAAGTATAAAATATAGAACAATTCAAGGTAAGCGAAAGAAATATTATGCATACTCTGTTAAGCCTGCCATGTAAATTACCTGTCTATTATGAATATATTCAAAGAAAGAAGGGACACTAGGATATCGATATCGATCCATTGAATCTGGCAAACAGCGTTTTTGGTAGCATATTATATCACCATTGTCAATCTGCCAGCATCACATAACAGGGCATAAGTACAGCAAAAGATAGTATCAACAAGAACAAAACATCATATAAAAAAGTGAAATCCATCGAGTACAAACACTTGGGAACAACTCTCAAATACAACCATGCATCTAAACAGTTCGATGCATTTATCAAGTATGAGCTTTCCATCCAAGTAATCCCAACAGTTGGATCCTGAGCTGTACTCAAAGTGTACTCAAATGGTCGTATCTATAGCAGTACTCATAGAAAAAAAAGATACAAACCTGGCTTGAACGGAACGAAATATTGCTCTCAATTCGTACGCACATCACATCTGGTTCAAATTTTATTTCCTAAAGAGATTTAAACAGCATAACTATAGCAGTCAGATACTTTCAAGATTGTTTGTAAAGATCATCCTTCAAGGAATATCAGGCCTAATGTTCCAGCAAAAAAATATATATATATTTCTGACCTCATAGAGCTCAACATCTTCACCAGACGGAAATCCAGCGATCTCATTCAGCCTTTCTACTATATCAGATGGTTTTCCTGATGCTTTCACAAAAAAATTTCCAACATATCTGTTTCATGATAACAAGGATATATATTATGTTCGGTTGGTTGAAAAATACACAAACAAATAGGCATAACAGAGAGAAAAAGATAACCTTAGGTCTTCCTTTTCAGGATCATAGAGCTTGAAGAAAAGTAATATATCTTCTTTGTTCTTCCCAGGAGCAATTCCTTGATTCTCCTGGATGCGCCAGAAACTATGTTAGACAGTAAAAAAATAATCAAAAGGCAAATGAGAAGATTAGGTAAATGAATAACATCAACTAAAAACTGGGAACAAAAGCAATTGAAAAGGTATTTAATCAATTAACCTGTCCCGAATGAACCTCCAAGAACAACCGTACTTCAGAATTCGGTAACTTTGCCACTATTGCGTCTTTGAGAAATCCAATCTGAACAGAGGAGAAACATTACTTTAATTGTGAATCAACACTAACAAATATAAAATAAATGAAATATTAACGAAACCACCAGGGTTGGTAGATATCAAAATAATGTTTGGAGGTTACAACAAAAATAAAACAAGAACGAAATAAGAAAACAGATGCTCTGTGCATTTTTTTGTAACGCATATTAGCAACAACAACAACAACAACAACAGAGCCTATTAGTCCCAAGCAAGTTGGGGTAGGCTCAGGGCTGGTTGTAAGGCATATTAGCATTTGAGAAAATCTTTCAAGGCAAACTTTGACCATTACTTTTTGCTACAGCATATTACCAATTACTACAAAACCGGCATCTTGCTAAAAGGGATACAAAGTATGAATCCACTGATGCATCTTTTTGCATACAAACTAATTGATGGTCAAGTTTATAATGTTTTGACTTTTTAAATTCTAGCACACCCTGCACTTTGAAATGGAGAGTACTCAACAGCATAGGATTTGGCGTGCTATCATCGAAATGAATGAAAAAGTTGAACATGAGCACGTATGAGGACCTGGCTGATTAGTTGCATTAGCCATCAAGCTATATATTGTGAGTTGTGACATGAGCTATACAACCATTGTATAAGCTCAATTTAACGCATTCCTATAAAAAATGCAATAAAAAAAGTACTTCCTCTATTTTTAAATATATGACGTTTGTTAGTCGCTGAATTCTCACTCTTGGTAGTAGCAGAATTCTTACTCTCATCGAGAGAGGATGACACTAGGAGTTGGGGCAATTTTCAGGTTTATTTCTCACACAAACTCACACAAATGCCATGCCAACCTGAGGGGTTGGGGATACATATTTATAGGCTGCTAGTCAGTCAAGCATATGCCAAGATGCTAGTCTAAGATGCTAATATGCTGTCCTAGCTAAGATGCTGTCCTCCAGTCAAGGAGATGCTGTCCTCCAGTCAGTCAAGGAGATGTTGTCCTTGCAGCCACAAGGACCTGCAGCCACCACATGCTGCAGCCAGTCCAAAAAGACCAGCACATGAGACTTATCCCATCAACGTTTAGGACAAGCTAATTAATTAAAAATGAAATAATTAGCTTATCTTTAATGCCGTATATTTATGAACACAGGTAGTACTAATTGTTCAGTTCATATTGTTTCAGATGCCAGTAAAGCCCCCAAGCACCTGAAAAAATAATTATGCAATTGAAAAATATGTCATTTAGTCATTGATAGGTGAAGAGAGGAAGCACATGCATGGACAATCAGGAGACCTAGGGGATGTTTTGTTTCTTTGCCCACATGAGCTAGCTGGGCAAGGATTGCCTCACCTTTCCTAGCTACACAAGCAAAGGGTTGTGTGTTAGGTTCCCATGCTCAACAGTTATCCTCTCTCCCTTGGACCTTTTCCAATCATCTTCCTTCTCCAATCAAATGTGATTTTTGCTAATTCAATGAGCTGCCAACTTACATCCTCCTCTATTCACAACCGCAGCCAACATTGAGAATGACAACGACATAACAGGTGCACCTAAGCATCTATTTTTCATCACGGTTACGCCGCCAGGCATCGACTCCCGCCTTTCCATTCCTGCAGATGCCAAACTTCAATTTGCACAAGCAGCGACCTTGCCGAGGTCGCCACACTGCAACAGGGCATTCGATTTCTGTCATCAAGGCCGTCTCTTCCACCGCAGTTCATGTACAGGAGGAATCCTTGCTTGCCTTGCCAGAATCACCACTTCTCCGTTTGGCATTCTGCTACCAATTCAACATCCCAGATCGACAAGCTGAGCCTCTGGCTGTCAAAGCATGACAACAGAAACCTACAGCTGTGGATGCGTCACCGGTGTTCAATTTCGAGGCCGCCCTAGCACTAGACTTGAGAATAGAGGAGCAATGAGCCAGCGAGCAACCTTGCTCGTGCAATACAGCCGATTTGGCTCACCTGCAATGGCAAGGAAAACATTGTTGGGGCGAGCAAACTTGCTCAGCAAAGCAAGCTTTTCCCAAGGAACCAAACACATGGGTTTGCTTGGCAAGGTGAGGGATGCAAGAGATCCAAACATGCTCCTGCTTGCCCTGCGCCCCTGCCCTTAGAACCAGCGCGAGGTGCTATTTTCACCAGCCTATTCTAGGCCAATATAGAAACTAAGGGAGGTCCAAGACCCCAGGTTGCACGATGACAAGGCTAAGCAAGTGCAAGTCCCACCCTAAGCTCCAATAAATTCATGAAGTGCAATGCTGGTACCTTCAAAGAGAACAGGGGGAAATGCCTCATGAGGTTACAAGTATTCTGTTTTGATCTTTTCAACTATTGCAGATTCATTATCCATTGTAAATGTAGGGTAGTTACCCAAGTTGTTCTTTTAAAGAGAATAATTGGGATGTTATTCTAAAAACATAAAAAATTGACAACATTCAGATGAGAATTTTTCACGTATGTCGAATGGATAGATCGTAACAAAGTGCAAACCTGCCAAGCTTACATGTGTAGGAAAACAAATCAAAATAAATAAAGATTTAAACACTTATTTAACGCAACATTCCACTTACAGCAGATGTTTCCTCCAGGAAGGTCAATGGCCGACTGGGTCTGTAGGTAAAGTTCTGTCGTTTTGCCCACACCCAAAATCGTTGGGATTCTACTGGGATGCCAAATTCTTTCGAAAGCTCCTCCTGCCAAGAGAGCATCATGAAGTCATAGAAAACCTTTTCTCACCATTACAAAAAAAATGAACAAGGCCATGTTCTGATCTTGTAATAGCAATTAGAGTGCATCCCAAACAATTGTTACAACAGCAGTCCAGTGAAAAAAAAATTGGTTTGCTAATTACTAACAACACCAATAAATAGTTGCAGTTACACCAGTTGGCCAGCCCAATGACTACTCTAGCAATGTTATTTTCATGTCACAAACCTAGCAACTCTATCAACATATTAGTGTTCAAATTTTTTTTTAAGTCCAATTACATAACTCCAGAAAAAAAATACTTCAGATGCAAGAGCAGGATGAGACTCCAGAAAATGATTACGTTATAATAAAATATGCACCTGGATTCATAATGGCCACAAAATATAGTAACCCTGACACACACAAAAGGGTATGTCTCCTCATCAGGCCACTTATGTTGGTGAAAGTCATTTTTTTAGAAATCAGATCAAAATCCAATGGCTCCACTGCCCTCCCTCATCTAATATTATCCTCCCCGCCCATCCCTCCACTATTTCTTCTTTCCCTGCCTCCACCCACCACGCTACCTGTCCCTGCCTCCTTCTGCCTTATTGCCGCCAGCAGCTCGCCTCCTCTCTCTCCAATCCACCTGGTGCCATATTCTTTGATTTTGACCAAGCTCCCCAATCCACCCCCCGGCCACCACTAAACCACCCAGCACCCAACACCCCCAGTGCCAGATTCACACCACGAATAGTGCCACTCCTGACACCTATGCATCCCAATTCGATGCGCACCATCAAGCCGGTGAACCCTCTCTACAACCACAAACGGGTAAAACCCCGAACCCTGACCCCCAACTACCCAACCCCAATCTCAATTTCTAGTATAAATTTGGTGACTTGGGAATAACAGTCCCCTGCTGTGGACTAAATTCTAATATAACAAGTAAACACTTGAAACTTGAAAAAATATGAAAACACCTAATATTGCTGCCAATTACTCAGTCTATAGTAGAATGTAAAACGGATAGTACAGACATCACAGAATTATTTAACTTGAAGGAAGTAACTTACTAATCTACACATAGAAGATCAATAATCATAATCATAATCATATCAAACCACAAGGCCCAGCGAAGTACCTTGACTTGGTTGATTGACATGTTCTTAAGTGCACGGAAGCTATTAACTTTGTCAAAGTCCACAAGATCAAAATGTACGTGTCTTCCAATTTGCTCTTTGAAATCAGAGTCTTGGACCACCTGAGTGATTGTTAAGAAATGAGAAATAGTCCAATCAGATTATGTAACAGACAAAATCAAGCCAAACCTTCAATGTAGTGAACATATGAGCCTCAGCCTTCTCTTTTTTCTTGCATTCCTTCTCTTCCTGTTCCTTTCTTAACCTAACCTGGGAACATTTCTGTGACATCAAGACAAACTCTATGGACTCTACTACTCCCTCGTCCTAAAAAGAATGCAATTCTCACTTCCCAAGGATGACAATTTTAAGATTGACCAAAATATATATACAAAAATTACAAATGTTTATGATACCGAATAAATGTCATTAGATTGATTATGAAATATATTTTCATAGTAAATCTAATTAGATACATAAATAATGATCAAATCTAGAAAAGATTGACTCATCTAAAACATAGAATTGCTTTTTTTGCACAGGGGACAGAGGGAGTATTTAATAATTTTTTAAAATTGAATAAACAAGTACTACCTTAAGGTGTTTTGATACATCTTCATCATCTAAATCGCAGATGATTTTCTCTTTGTCACTTTCTCTGATGTAAACAAGCATGTAAGCATTTGAATGCTTCGTGAATCTAATTGGTGTCGTATTGAGTCCATTCGTATGAGGGAGCTGCAACAAAGAATTCTCAGAGAAACATCATGTACTCAAGTTAATTGAGGAAGTCTTAGTGTCTGCATGTATTACCTCTTCCTCACCACCATATTGTTCCTCCAATGCCCGCTTCATGTCTTCTTTCGTCACTCGTTCATCCTCGAACTTGTACCTAAATTTCCAATTGCAAACTAAATGGATTACAAAAATTTCCAATTGCAAACTAAATGGATTACAAATCACCCCCTCAGTGATTGTCCAATGTAGAGCAGATAATTCTTAGATAAGAACACCCATCTTAGCTGCTGGAAAAAGATAGTCACGAAATGAAATTTGCATATGCATATCTTTCCACTATGAGGTCATGACTCGTGAGCGACAATTAGATCAGTTATCAAAGTATCAATAACCAATAAGGAATTAATATGCATAAGGGTACATGAAAAAAATTGCATCTGAACTTAAAAATCAAAAGGTTGCTTGAATCGCCTTTTCAGATTGGGTTAAAACAAGAATGTGATCTAGTACCAGCAAAAGATAAGAATAGTTCGATTCAAATATTAAACTGAATGTTCCACCAGAGAAAGATAAGAATAGTTCGATTCAAATATTAAACTGAATGTACCATTGATCAGACAGCTTCGGGCGAATAAAGGCATAGTAGTGTCCTCCATGAACTCCGCCGCTATGAACCAACACACTGCATTAAAGAGTAGCTACAAATATTACTACAAAATATCCAAACTGCTCTCAAAAATTGAAAACCCAACCCATAAGTCTGCACCTAACCAGCTACTACAGAATTGTGAAAATCAGATTAGTGTCATAAGCAAATATTTAAGAAATACCACACTTTCACCATGTTAGCTAATCCATCGTTGTAACTTACAAGTGGAAAACACAAACAACATATGAACTTATCTAAAATAAGTTGAGCATAGTTAATAACTTAATATTGGTAAGATGTAAGTTGTCACGTAGTATTTATTAACCTGCAATTTTTTTTGTTTTTCAAGTGACAAAACAAAACAATATATGCAAATGGAGTGCTTATTGAACTATTATACCTGTGAAGAGTATATAGGTTACGCACACTTCTATCCGCGTCTGGAGAAAGATATTTTCCATCATCTCTATCAAGATCCAATTGAAGTGGGAACTCATAACGGTCATTTATCTACATCACGAAAACCAATTTAATTTAAAAGAAGCAAGAATGCAAATCAGCCATAGACCAGAATTATTTTGAATGCATGCCTCAGATGATAACGATATCCACCAATCCATCCGACAACTACATTAGAATATCTTTACACTGACAATTTTTGCAATGGAACCTTTACCTACTCTAATCCTCCAGAAAGAACTGTGTACAATATTTTTGTCTTCAGCCTTGTTATGTTTCAAAAGTTTGAGCCAATATGACGGCTGAAAGCTCAAAGAGTTCAAGTACCCTAAATGGTAAAAATGCAACATTGGCAGTTCTAGTTTCACCATACTAGCGCGTTCAAGACCACAAACCTATAGCCTAAATTAAACATTAATGTAACCTTCCCCAATGTGATTGAAGCCACTACAATGTAAGTACAAAACATGAAAAAAGGAAAACCGCGATAGGCTAAAATAATATAATAGAAGATAAAAGGTCAAGTACAGACCTTGAGCATTGTATCCCGCACAAAATCATATTCAAACCGTTTCAACTGAAGTTGCAAAACTGGAGGGAAGTCAATAAAAAGCATTCCTTTCTTGGCATCCTGAAAAAAAAAATCATTCAAAGAGCAAAAAATCTAACAATCACCTTCAGTAACTCTATTCTATCATTCTATGCCATCCTTTTCTTATTAAGTTCATTAATGCTTCCTAAAATAGAACTTAGGGCCCACTTAATAACCCAAAAAACAATTAGCTAAAGCCTAAACCTAAAGTTAAGGTTGGTGACTTAAACAAAATAGATGTGCATCAGCACAATCTAGATTACCATGCTACACATATACAAACCATTTTAAACGACATTTGATGGTTCTAAATGTCACTGCCAAGATTAATTCACCTGTAGACCATGTTCCTCGGATTGATACTTATTATCGCCTTCTAACCTCTCCACTGCAACATACTTATCAAATGATGCATAGACATCAGAACATCCCTTGACATCGAGTGCAAGATCTGTGGAAAAGAAGTAAACAAACAAGTATGCTATTGAGTATTGCCTCTTGTCAACTAATAAAACACTAAAAACAAGTTCATATTTCCCCTTTACCTACCATAGAATGACTCTTTCCTGGTAGATTTTGAGTCAACATTAATGCACTCGATATAATTCATATGGTGACCCTCGAACAATTTTTGTATTGCTCCTTCCACGGTGGTTCCCTGAGAGAGAAGAATAGCTGCATATCAATATAAGAGTCAGGCTTTTTTTCAACAAAATAGGATGACAAACCTTCATCTTGTTCTCCAGCTTTTCACATAGGACCCTATTCAACTCTTGAACATCATGCTGCATGAACGAATCATAGCTATCCCATCCAAAAGATTTGGTGAGCTCTTTTGTAGCAACACTGTTATCACTATGCTGAAGTTTATAAAAAAGACTTTGCAAAGCCAATGGAATGTTCCCTGAAGGTGTATCATTCTCTGTAGTAGGCATATGATATACAGCCTAAAATATTAACTTCAGTATCAGCACCACACTTAAGGATCAACAGTAAGAAAAAAAAATAGAAATGTTGCCCCACCTTCCGAAAGTAGGGAATGTGGTATAAAGTCTGAAGAAGAGAGTTCATGTAACAGGTAGCCCCTTGATTCTTCAGGCCAACATAACCAGTCATCCTTTTGGAGTCATAGTTCCAGAAATCAAAAGTTTTACGCACAGCAACCTCAGCTTCTATGATACATTTATCATTCACAACATATCCTTTACTTGAATCATACAGATCCATCAAAGGCATAAAAGATGTAAAACCCCAATCACTTTCTCGGGAATTGAATAGGTGTATCGCTTCTGGGAGAGGAGGGAGCACATCAAACAATCACAGTTAAATAGTGTCAAACAATATACTTAATAAAACCGATCTATTAGCATGACAAGTTGACAACAAAGCTATATTCAGAGCAGAACTTGATCGTAAAAGAAAAAAAATAGCCAACCTAGAGTACCAAGATGCTAGTTACTCCACATCCTTATCCTTAGTTTTTTATGACTCAAAGCTTTATCTTCCTTAGCTCTTATCTGCCATGAAGACTCACATCCTTATCCTTAGTTTTTAACAGTTTGAAAATTTTAGTTTCCCACTTTTCAGTTGAATACACATCAAAACATGTCCAGGCATAACACAGAGCATAGCATAAAGCATTTACGTGTGCCATTCCTCAAAACATGTTTGAAAATTTTAGTTTCCCACTTTTCAGTTGAATACACATCAAAACATGTCCAGGCATAACACAGAGCATAGCTTAAAGCATTTATGTGTGCCATTCCTCAAGTTTTGTTCTTTATTGCTCAACATGTCTTGCTCAGCACTGTTTGGAGCTTTTTCTTCCTGTATGTATTGTTCTTTACCCTGATCCCTCATGTTCCATAATTTGAAACAATCATATTTACCGTTTTGTAGCAGATAAGAATCACACCAAGAAATGCTTGACATAATGGAACATATATAACATCTTTTCTATAATGTCTAATAAAAAGGCCATCATTTACTTGAGAAATGTCACAGAAGACAGAACAAATAAGCATTGGTAATGGTAACATTAAAAAAAGTGTTCGTCTTCATAAACAATCAGCCAACTTCACACTTACTAGGTGAATGTACACTTATGTTCATGCAAGACCCCCAAAAGACAGTAATGTTGCTAGGAACACTAAAGGATGTGTTGTACATATCAGATGTATAATCTGGGTGAGAGATAACAGGAAATACCTTTTCTTAATGATGCTTTGCTGTCTAATTGGTTTACCACAGCAAGGCTGAATTGTGCATTCCTACTCCAACCAGGAGGCAGCAAGTTTGAATCAGCAACATCCAGGTACATTGAAAGGTAGTCAACATTATTTCCTCTGGGGAAGACAAGCACTCGCCTGCAAGGAGGCAACAAAAAGCACTGAACCAAGCTCTATAAATGTCTAATACACAATTAGAAGCAATGAGCATATGTCTTTACTCACCATTTGTATCCCCCAACAATAAAATCATCAGAGTAGTGCTTTCTAACATTGCGTTTTGAGAAATTTTCAATACACCATGTAAATCTGGATGTGGAGGTATCTGGCACAAGTTGGTTCTCAACAGCGGATACAGATTCTGCAATACAACCAAAAAAAGTAAGAATCATTGAAGCAAGGAGAAAAACAAGAAGTAATGGGACATTCCATCCTTCAGGGTTTCATTGTACTTCATCCATGGTATCAAACATAGGTAAAAGTAAAATGCTCACTACCACGGGTAGCAAAATGAACAGAATGCATATGCATATTATAAGGCAGCATAGAATGCACATCTCCATCAAGTGCTCCAGTTAAAGTTAAATAACCCTATCAGTTGTAATTTATAGTTTCAAATGCGTGAGAATAATTGTAGGAGCCATGCATGCACTTGCATCTTTTTGAGCATATATATTGTTGCAGTATTCAATCACCGTTTTAAAAAATATTCAGAAAAATTTACAAATGAGCAGAAATAGTGGTCTCTGATGCAAAAATAATAATAATAATCTTCCCTTGAAGATTCCATGGTGCAACAGTTTCTGAGAGTATAAAAACGTAGCAGCAAGGTAACACCCAACATATAGGTTCCACACTAATATTGGAAGACATCATAAAACATGATGAAAAAACATTGCAACAATGAATAATCATTTCTGTCGATAGGGGTAAACGATGATTGACCAAACCAACCACATTGAAAACAGTTCCAAAATCATAATTAAAGCAACATAAGTTAAAAAGCACTATTTTTTATAGTGGCAGAAACCAGGCATAAAAGTTATGGTTGTGAAAGAACCGTGCTATAGCCCTAACCGTATCATATCTCGCCATGAAAAACAAAAATGAACTGTGCTTCAAAGATAATGTGTTAGAACTCCAATAGATACGAGGCCAAATTAAAGGGTTTCTCAAATGACAACTAAAAACCTCACCTTCCATCGGCTGCGGACCCTCAACAACATCCTGCTGCGGCTGCGGACCCTCAACAACATCCTGCTGCGGCCCCTCAATGCCATCCTGATGCGGGACCAGCATCTCCTCATCCTGGTCCTGTTGTGGCTGCTCCTGCTGTGGCTGCTGCAAACACCAAGCACCATGAAAACAGGTCTAAAAATCACCCGCGCAGCCCCACCCGAATCAAACCTAATCTTCCTACAAAAGGTAAGTAAGCATCTAGTTTGTTACAGTGAAACGAGCGTAGATTGAACAGAAGTTTTACCTCGGGGGCGCCCGAGACAACCATGATTATGGAGCGCGGCGTATCCGGCGCCGGTGACCGGCGAAAGATCGGATCGCTGCAGCGATCGCAGCGGAGGATAGCGTATTTAGAACAGTCTGGCTAGGGTTTAGGAAGGAGGAAAGCGAAGGGGAGAGACAAAGACGAAAGAAAAAAGAGGTTTTCCGCTATAAAAGCTGCGTGCGCGACTGCCAGTTTCACATTTTGGGCTTTTGGATGGATGGAGGTCACAAACGGGCCCGGTTGCCTCTTAGACCGGCTGGTAAGCCCGTTCACCGCGAAGCACAGACTGCTGCCCACTCGAATTTAAATCCTCGGCTTCACGTGAGCGTTCGTATTTTCCTTAATTTATTTCAGAACTTAATAACGATATATTTTCAGTGATAGACGACGTCTTCATTGACAACGAGACGCCTATGATAACTTTATTAATCTCGAGATCTGCCAGCTCAGTTATTCGGCGCCCGTTCGTCGCTCACCTTCTCCGGCGCGAGGTTGCTTGCCGCGGGTAGTGTAGCCTCTGCCGTGGGGGACCTCACCTCCTGCTGGTGTTGTGTTTGTCTTGATGTAACGTGGGGGACCTCACCTCGCCCGCCCGCTGGCATCTTTCTCCTCTCCCCCTGCTGGTGTTGTGTTTGAAAGTGCATGTTGCAAGAGTCTATTTCAAGTGTTTCATTTTCATATGAATGTTGCAGATATTGCATATGTTGTAATGGTTGTACACGTATGTGTAAGTTTCTGTTTCCAATGTTTCTTCTGTTTTTCAAACATATGTTACACGTGTGTTTGTCTTGATGTTGCATCTATTTTACACATATGGTGCAAGTGTTTTATATTGATGTTGCGTATGTTTGCAATGGTTTCAAATGTTTTCAGATGTTTTTGCAAGTGTTTCAGACGCAAGTGTTTCATCTGTATTCAGACGTATGTTGCAAGTGTTGCCTCTGAATGTTTCAAAAATAGATCGGGTGTCGCATCTCCCTCCTCTCCTTCTGTTGCCTCGGCTCGGTGTCTCCTCTTTCGCTGACATGTGATACGACGCCACAGGCAGGGCACGTCACGAGTCCCTCCAAACCAAAGGTGTAGGCGAGGCGTTGTCGCCTCCGTCTTCTCGATGCTGTGACGTTCGAGCGGCGCGGGCCACTACGTGGGGCACGTGAAACGGAGTGCAGGCGTGCCCATACGCTGGCGGTTCGTGGCACACGGAGACCGAGACTGAGGAGACAAGGAAGTAGCGAAGGCCGAAGACCTCGCACACCATAGGTTGCAGACATCGACCGGTACCTTCGGTCGTTGAAGGTGATGATCTCTTGGCAACCAAACAACCAAAGCTCAGTGTCGCGGTTGTCGAAGCCGAGAACATGGGTGGCTCAAACAGAGGCCGAGGCGGAGGAGGCAAATAAGTCGCACAGCTCTGGCGACCCCAGGTCCTGAGCCCGGTGTTTATGATCATTAACATCAATTATAAACCATCAATATATCCTACATATATACTTAATTCCATCACCAAACATAGGTGTAGGGGTTTAAACTCACAAATTTTATGAGTTTTTGTGAATCTGTATTTTTAGCAGGGTTTATCTAGAAAAACGTCAAGGTAAGGACTCACTTATGGCACTGGAGCATACAAAACAGAAATGTAGAATCAAGCAAGCACCAGACAGAAAAAATAGTTTAAGGCAGAAGCGAAGGGTCTATATGTTTGCCTAAACAGATAGGTATAATCAAGCAAGCACTTGATAATTAACAGGCCTAGTTACACAGGCATTTACAATAACAACACTGAACATATGCAGAAAACCAAGACACCAGCAAAAACCAACCAATATCACCTCCTAGTTTTTTCATCAATATTGGCCTAATTAGATCTGCAACGCTACAATGATTCTTGTATACCTCATGTTCAAGCAAGTACCAAAACAGTGAAGCGAATAGGAAAAGGCAAGAAAGAAGACATGTAGATCGGCTCTATCGCCTTTGTCGCGGCACACGACGGACACGGACGCCAATGCCGTCGCACTCCACTGGGAAGACCCACCGCCTAGCCTCCAATAAAGGACGCCTGAGCCACCACAGCAGCACACCAGGGTTCCTCTGTTGCCACCACCGCAAGTCTAACAGGTACAGATTTGTTTCCATTTGCAGAGGATATATCCAATATATAAGTCAACCTGTCTAGAGAACATATACTACTATGAGGACTTTAAAGACATATCAACACAACCAAGCGTCTAGCGCACTGGTGAAGACAGTCTATTCCTTGCTCTAGGTCCCGGGTTCAACTCCTAGGTCTCATGTTTTTTTAGTTTGATTTTATTAAATGCCGACGGCAACAAGTGACACACAAGCCGTCGAGTCCCACAGGTCGGATGGAGATGGAGAAAGGTCTCACAGGTACATGTGACACGTAAGCCGTCAGGTCTCAAAGGTCAGATAGAGAAGGGTCCACAAGTGACACGCAAGCCATCGGATCCCATAGGTCGGATGGAGATGAAGAAAGGTCACACAGGTACACGTGACACGTAAGCCGTCGGGTCCCACAGGTACACGTGACACGCAAACCGTCAAGTCCCATAGGTCGAATGGAGAAGGGTTCCACAGGTACATGTCGGATGGTCGGATGGACAAAGGACTGAGCGAAGACTTTTATGACGAATTGACAACATCACGGATGAGTAACTACAGGTCCCACATGTACACGTCGGATGGAGAAAGGACCGTGTGGAGATTTATGACGAAGTGTCGTTCATTTCGAATATTGTTCGTCATCGATGTGTAATTAGTTCAATGACGAAGCCCTAGTCATCATAGTTCGAAATAAAATTGTCACATGTGAACTGGAACCGTCGTGTGAGCGAACTATGATGAAACCATGCGCTGTTATATAACGTTTTTTATGACGATATCCGATTTCATCATAAAAAGGGAGTTCGAGGAACGTCACCGATGATCTATGATGAAACATAAATATTCGTCATTAAGATTTCGGTCACATAAGTGGGTATTTCTAGTAGTGTATATTGAGAGACTTTGAGAGTGTTATACAATGGAATCTCCGAGTTTTATTTAAAAACTTATAAAAACTCTAGAATAATGGTTGAACAAAGAACTTTAGATATAGTGCTTAACTTGATCGTTCTGTCTTTCAATTACTCAAGGCCCAAGTGAAGGCTAAGAAGCCATATGGTTGAAGATAATACAGGTAAGTTTAAAAGTCAGATCAGTTTATTCTAATTCGGAGGAAAATTTTTGTTTGAACGCATGTGTAGTTTTGAGGCGTGAAAATATTGTAGCAACTCCTGATACATTACTGAGTTTAGCTTTGTTTAGGGACTGATAAAGGGTAAGTTTGGGGAGCTCATTGACCATCATTAACATCAATTATAAACCGTTCATATTAAAAGGGGACTGTGACGCCTAAAAGGGAGGGTGAATTAGACAACTTAAAATGTAACTTCTAAACTATGGCCTCTTTTTCTACCCTTAACAAAACCTATACAAAAGATAAACTATCTAAATGCACAACTATGGATTTTGCTAGTGTGTTGTTATCTCTACCGTAAAAGGAGTAATGTAAACAATGTAAATGTGGAAGTTGAAGAGCAAGGTAGAGATATACAAACTCCCGTCGACGACTCCGGTATTTTTACCGAGGTATCGAGAAGCGCGCAAGCTTCCCTCAAGTCTTTGTTGGAGCCCCTCGCAAGGAATCCCTCATAAGGGCCAAGCCCCCGGTCGGGTAACTCTGTGGATAGCCTTGGGCCTTCCCATGCGCAAGTGGGTCTCCGACATGCCTTCCGGCAAGCCTCTCCCGGATGCTCCCCGTCATCTTCACTATCAAGCTTCTAGCCAAATCATCGCGGGCCTTGTTCCCTCCGGTACACGATGGCGGCCACACCCCAAACGCGGTTGGTCTGATCTCAAAAGACTACAAGCCCTCCGATGTACAACAATGGTACGCGTAAGCACCGAGTGATAAGAGGTATGCAAACCTCACTAAACACTAGGCCTAAACCCAGAGCAAGCGCATAGGTCTAATCAACCTAAGCACTTCGCAACGCACGTACACTAATCACCTAATGAATTACTAAGCACTATGCAAGTGGAGATCACTAAAATAGTGTGCTAACACCCTTGGTATGTTTTCTCAGCTCCACACCTATTAAATGGCCGGTTGGGGGTCCATTTATAAGCCTCACTGAGAAAGTAGCCAGTGGAAACAAAATCCCGCTTTTCTTCTACTGACCTGACGCTGATCATGTCCTGACTGGACGCGTCCGGTCGTCCCGACCGTTAGAGCCACGATCAACTGATCAGACGCTGCCAGCGTCCGGTCACATGCCACCGGACGCATCCTGTAACATCCTCGGTGTTACACTGTACAGTTTTTTGCTAAAACACTGCATGAGCATCATACTTGTGTGTAAATGTGTGTAATATAGGGTATAAAGCAATATACGGAACTTAAAACGATCATTTGAAACACGAAATGCATGTTACATTTCATGTCGCGTTGTATTACTTAGGGTTCTAAATGAATTTTTATTGAACGGAAATGCTATGGAACGTATATGCGAAACTTTAGTAAAGTTTGTAGCATGAACTTCGTAGGTGACGATGAAATACGTGCGGTCGATAATGGGATTCGCTAGATAGCTTACTTAATAGCTTGGAAATGGAACTCGACGCGAAACCGTTTGAAACTTAGTAAATTTTCGTAAGTCAGAAAATGGGTCGACGAAGCCAAGTTCGACAATTTTTATAGGAGAATCGGGTTAGGTAGTGGCACGGTTTAAGGGTTTGTTCTAGTCGCTTGATATACCATCTCGAGCGAAAAATAGTTGGGTTAGCAACTGGATCGTCGAGTTAGGTTTTTTGGGCGCTTTAAAAAGCGGGCAAGCCACTTTTCCTGGCCGATTGCAGCGTCTGGGCGCGATCACCGCGCCGGCCGTCGTTGTCGCGCGCGCGCCGCTTAACGCGCGCGCGCCACGCGTGGACCACCGTCT